ATTCACAATTCAAAACACATCATAAACATGTATGGGTATTTTGGGATAACTTACTTGAGCTCGGCTGATTGCATGCACCGCACATTTCCATATTTTTTTAAAAAAAAATTTAAAATTCATTTTTCCTTTTAAACCTCTTACCAAATCCTTAGTTTGAGTCCAGACACACCCGAGAGTGTATCTAAATCCCTCAAACCAAGGCTCTGATACCAACTTAAAACATCAAAAAATTATGACTCAAAAATTTCATTTTTGATTTAAGTAAAAACAGTGTTCCACAATGTGACATCCCCATTTTTCACGGCCAGAAAAGACCAATTTTGTTTATGCTTTATAAAAATCAGAGTATCTCCTTTAATAAAAGTGTTGCGGAATTTGTTACCAGAAAAACATGATAAATACGTTATCAAAGCATTTCCGAATAAATGTATTTTTATTCATTTTCAAAACCTTGGGATGTCATCGTCAATACATAAACATAAGCATAAACAGAACTTACATTTATTTACACTAGTGATCTACATCTCTTTTAAATATCTCAGTGTAAAGTAGCTTCACATCGACACCTGTGATACAAATAAACTGAGTGGGTCAGGTTGGGAAACCTGGTGAGTACATAGGGTTTTCAACCCACAATAATATAATTATTATGCTTAAACATCAAACAATCAACCCAATTACCCATCCCCATTATCTTCTTTACTCTTTAGGATCTACCCTAAGAATGAGCTATTCCTCGTTCATTCATTCCTAAGGATCATCCTAAGGAATTGACACGAAATCCATCGTTGCCAGGGTTTACTCGACAGGCACTAAGTCGCATAGTCGCCAGGGTTTAGGCACTAAGTCTCATAGTCGCCAGGGTTTATACAACAGGCACTACGTCACATAGTCGCTAGGGTTTAGGCACTGAGTCTCATAGTCGCCATGGTTATCTCGTTTATCGACAGTATCGTTTCCGAGAATCCACTCGCAATACGTATCAATGGGTTTTTAGAGTACCGCTGGTGAATACACAGTTCAAATACACCTACAGGTTGCGAGCCTGCTAGTGTTCCACTGGACTGTCTAGAATAGTCCGTGGTTGTCATCCATACTCTGCTAGATGACGGGGCCATCACTTGGGTAAAAGGCTTCTCTCATGGTTCACCTCTCACCCTTATCTCGTGGTCTATATCACCTATCATCATTTTGTTTTTGTCACACAACAACTATTTCATCTACCCATGTTTTACCCAACACATTTTGTAGATATAAAATACATATATAGTTTAAATCATTTAAAACATGTATAAAAAAATCTTTCACCCAACATAGACGGCAAGTATACAGACAATATGCACACGTAGCATGTAATTTATATTAAATACTTCATATCTATGTGTAAGATGCAAGTAACTATGCACTCACCTGGTAAGGTGGTGATTCGGTACTCGGACAACACTTCGTTATCTCAAAACAATTTTCCCTTGACAAAACCTAGTATCAATACCACTAGGGTTTAGTCTAATGTTAACCGCGACTAATTAATAGTCTAGCTATTATTATTATTATATAAGCGTTAAACAACACTCTATATAACCCAACATGCAGAATTCCAAGAAAGGTGACTTACCGATCCAGCATAATGCCAAACTAAGCAAGGCTCAGAGCCCGAGTATAGAGGCTGAGATAGCTGAGATGAGTCGACTACCATATGCTTCCGCTGTTGGCTCGATCATGTATGCTATGACTTGTACCCGCCCTGATGTGGCCTTTGCTATGAGCATCGTCAGCAGATATTAAGGGAATCCTGGCAAGGCTCACTGGACTACCGTGAAGAACATTCTCAAGTACCTGCGGAGGACTAAGGATTGGGTCCTTACCCTTGGTGGGAGTGATGACTTGAGAGTAGTGGGGTATAGTGATGCTAGCTTTCAGACTGATAGGGATAATTTCCGCTCTCAGTCGGGCTGGGTCTTTACCATGAATGGAGGAGCAATTAGCTGGAAAAGTTCCAAGCAGGAGACAGTAGCTGATTCGACTTGTGAATCAGAGTACATAGCAACGAGTGAAGCGGCGAAGGAGGCGATATGGCTGAGGAACTTCATCGGAGACCTTGGAGTTGTACCAGCTATAAAGGAGCCTATGGAAATTTTCTGTGACAGCAATAGTGCGGTTGGCTTAGCTAAGGAACCAAGAGATCATGGCAGATCCAGGCACATTGACAGAAAATATCACTTCATAAGACACAAGATAGAAGAAGGACTCCTCGTGGCAAAGAGGGTATCGTCAGAAGAGAACCCCGCAGATCCCCTCACGAAGGGACTGACTAGGGTTAGGCATTTGCAACATGCAAGGCGCATCCGGCTGAAGGACGATATTAGTTTTACATATTAGATAGCTATTTATGAAACTTGTAAAATGTAATTGACATTCGATGATTAAATAAAAGTTGTTGTTTATTTATAAGTAAGGTGTTGCTATCTTGTGTCAATTGTTTACTATTGTTTCAACTTTGCATGTTTTGACTTCCAGAATAATTACTTTATTCAAACTCTCCACAGTCAGTCATATGTTGGAAGTAGGTATGAATCAAGACTGTCATGAATTGGGCTTGTAGATGTCTAAGGTGGTTAGACATAGCAAAGAGTTGCTACAACATTCATGAGTGCTCATAACTTCTGAGTATTGGATTAAACCCACGTTCCCTTGTATCACTTCATGGAATTTATCTCGGGTGATCGTGAGACGGTAATATCATATAAGTCTTCAAACCTAGATATATGAGTTGTTGCCTATGAGTTGGTTGTGCATTGATTGCACGAAAATGCATCAGTAACTTGATGTTATAAAACGTGCCTTTGTGTATGATTCAACAAGTAGTAGAACAAGCATATGAGTCGAAGTTTATCTGTTCCTTTTAGTCCTTGGATGATTAAAAGAGATATATGGGCCCCTCGATGATTTTGTTTTGACCTATGTACCGGGCCCGGTCAGAACCAAATTGATGTATTCAGTTTAGTTTTATGTCAAACAAATCGGAAATCGGGAAACAAACTGCTGGACAATAAGTATGACATTATTCCATGTATTTGTTCAGCTGATATCTAGAATAGAGGATTATATGATCACTTATCTTAAATGACACTTCATAGTTCAGCAGAGTTTTAAGAGCTACGATTGCTGGTCGGTTCCTGAAGTCATACTATAGTTATCAAACTTATCCAAGTGGGAGACTATTGGATAAGGTGTCTAAGTCTGTAACTATATTTGATATGTACTTGACCCGACCCGACATGGTCCATTTGGGTTGCACTTCACCGAAACAATTTATATGGATAATCTTTTGAGAATAATATAAGTTATGATTTATTAATATATTATAAGTTATAATATATTAATATGAAATCATATTATTTAATTAGTATTGATCAAGAATTAATTTAGAATTAATTTGGTGATCAAAATGAACTAATTAAATATGGACTCTTATATATATGTAGAATGGGCCAAGTTCATTTAGGTTGGGCTAAGCGTGCATGGATAGTCCATGGAGTTTTTAACCCATGGATCCTATGGAAATGAAAGGTCATGGTTATTAGGGTTTACATGGATGTAACCCTAATCCTACATATTATATAAAGAGGTCTTTGGCACATGAAATGGCACTAGTGTGTGTGAATACAAAGGGTGGGCCGATTTCTACTTGGTGCACACTATTCTCTCAAGTCTTCTAAGGTGTTTTGGTGATTTGTGATTCCACTTGAGGCATCTACATTATTGGTGCTAGGATCTTAAGACTCCAAGCAATCAACCACAAGAAAAGGTATGTTATTCTACTAAAGTTTTATAATACAAGTACCCCATAACATGTTAGTTAGGTTGAGAACCTTGGAATTTAAATTTGCATGAATATTAGAGAAAACATAGATCCAAGGTTTCTAGGGTTGCATTTACACCATAGGAGTGTTAGAATGCTCAAAACCCATCAGATATAGGGTTCGATATTAGGGTTTCTGGACAATAGAGGTTGATAAGGAGGCTAATACTTGGGACTTAATGACATTATATAGGGCTTGAAACCTAGATTAGGGTTTTGAGTCTGACCACATACGCTGCGCGTACTACCTTTTACGTTGCGCGTACGTGCATGCCTCCGCGTTTCCTTATGATCCTTCTACGCCCCGTGTACACCAGGCTTACGCCCAGCGTACGGCCTCAGCTAAGCCCACTCATAAAGGCCCAATCCTCTAAGCCCAACATAACTTACATGATTTAGACAATTAAATAAATAAATAAATAATACCTTGGAACCATCGGGTGTTACACACCTCCATCCCCCTACATCTCTTCACCACAACTCTAAATGGCTACTGCCCTGTCATTACATCATTGCCTATACTTACCATGACATCATCGTGCAGCTCAGTTCAACAAGAAAGGAAAGTGGAACCATTCAAATTGTTGACGATGAAATCATTGAGAAGAATCCTAGTACAGAATATGAAAATGAACATATATCAACACCCAAGAATGGTTCACCATCAACCTAGTAAACTAACAATCAACCAAAGGAATTAGTATGTCATCATCCAACTCTAATTCACCACAACTAACAATAAGATCTTTAAGAAGTATCTATTCTAACACTTGACCGATTAATTTTGATGAGTGTACATATTTTTCTCCTTTCTCTGATTCTGACTTGATAAGCTTTCAAAAGGCCAGTAAAAGGGGGAATTGGATGCTTGTAATTGATGACGAGATGAAAGCCATAATCAAGAAACCTATATGATGAATCCCAATTATAAGAATCACAACCCATTTGTTTCACTTTTGATTTGGTAATAGTATACAAAGATCCAACTTCATGGGTGTCGTTTGGGGATGAGCACACCCAAAGCATTGTTGGGATAATGGGTGGGACTTGGCATCTGTTTTTTACTTGAGTGTTGTAGGTGTGGACGATTGTACTTGACTGAAAGGAAGTTGGGGAAACAGAGCTATTTAGGTAGGCGATGGTTCCTGGCCTTGGATTAGTTACGCCGTCGGTTAGGCCACCACTGACCACCATTGCATTCGCCGCCTCAAAGCATTACTCCTTTTTCATCTCCTACCACCACTGCCTTTTTATAAGCCACCTTGCACTACCACCCTTAGGTCACCTCCATCGAACCCTTATCTCTTTTTTCTATCCTTATTATCATACGAACACAAGGAGTATATGTGCATTTTTTGCTTCTTCTATCGGTAACATAGAAGTGGTGTATTTTTTTACTTTTGATAACTAGGAGAGAGAGAGAGAGAGAGAGAGAGAGATTTCATTTATTTATTATAAAAATAGTTCAAAAAAAAGGAAAAATAAAAAATAAATATATTAAAGTATTTTAGTCTTTTCAATTTGGGGATATCACATTTTCAAAATACAAACATGATCAAAAGGACCACCAATACAAAAAAGTTGAGATTTGGACAAAAATCTGAAAAAAAATACGTACCAAATAGACTATTTTTACAGTTTGTCCTTATGTAGATGTAGATGTAAAACCATAAAAAAAATATTATTATTTTATTTTAATATATACATATATATATATATATATATATATATATTATATATATATATATATATAAGGTTAGGTTTATGTGAGACGACCTAATTTTGTGAGACCGTGAGACGCAATCCTAGCCACTAATTTAGTAGATAAAAAAAATATTTTTAAAATGCAAAATAATTGAAAATTTTCGAATTTTTTTTTTCAAATATTATTTTCGGAATTTATATTTTCCAATAAAAAATACCAAAAAAAATAAAAAATAAATAAATAAAAATAATTTTTTTTACATATTCTAGTAGATTATTAGAATATTCTACATATCTGACAAATTTAATACAATATTCTAACATCCTAAAAATCACATTAGAATATTTACAGTGTAATATTTTATTAGAATATTTCACGTAATTTAAAAAAACGGTACATTTTTTTAATTTTTTTAGGTAATTAATGTTCCGAAAATAATAATTAAAAAAAGAATTTTTTGATTTTTCTTTTTATTTTGCATTTTAAAATTATTTTTAGATTTGGTCTCACGGTCTCACAAAATTAGCATTGTCTCAAATTAACCTGAATATATATATATATATATATATATATATATATATATATATATATATATATATATATATATATATATATATAGCAATGATCATTTGAGAACTCATAGTTTCCCGAGAACCCGAGAAGTAAAAGTGGAGCGTTGGATCAATTATTTGGATGGCTTAGATGATCAATGGCATATTTTGTAAATATGACTATCTTTAGTGGCATATTAGGTTTCTGTAAACATAATCATAAGGGTATTATCGGTATGAAAAAAAATCTGGAAATTAGATCATTCCCCCAAAATCCGATCGATTCTTTTTCTCCCAAATCCATCGATTGTCTCACCCAACGACTCTCTTTCTTTCAGAGCTTCATCGACGATTGCTTCTAGATCAGATCCTTCAGCCTTCCATATCGGTGCGCTCTGCCTTCCAGATCAACGTCGGTCTCCATAACGATCACACCTTGTTGATTTCTGTCTATTTCTTCCATGATTTAACCACGAACATGGAGGCACAAACCTCCTCGGAGCAAACCCTTTCAGAAAACGAAAACAGTGAAGTTACCGATCCATACAACTAATAACATCCGTAAATCTCTTCACCTTCTTCTCTTTGATGCTAGATGTAAATCTATTCAGAGCTTTCTCAATCGATTTCCTTTCTCACATCCATCATTCTGATTCTAGATCTATTCAGAGCTTGTTCACTGTGGCTGGAGTTCTAATTATGTTCATCGGTGTTTTTGTGGTGATAGATGAGATCGTGTTTGAATCTAATTTCTAGATATGTCCCTGGCTTTAGATTTTTTTTAGGTTATTTGTGTTTCTAGTCGTGAGTCGGATCATCATTCGCCTGCTCCGCCAAATCCTTCCACTGGTTCATCAGGTAATCACCCTTAACCACAACATTTTCATTCTCTTCCTCCTTAATCGAATAATGAAACTATAATTGTTCTCAAAGAGGAGAAAAGGGAAGCAATCAAGCATTTGTGTGTGTGGACTGATTATCACCGGAGTCGAGCTGATTTCTCACTAAATTGCTTTCCGATCTCCTCGCTAGAAACCACAGACCGATTTAGTTTGATGTTGACGTTGATTGGACCAGGTTATTCACTAAAATTTGAATCATGTAAGAAAGTAGGATACAAGAAACCTGTAACAAATTTCTCATCTGATCTCAAGATAAATCTTCGTTTTTCATTTGTGTTTTTTTTCATGTTTATTAACAACAGTGTGATTTGGTACATGATGTGTGTAGGATGGAGAAGCTTATGCTCACCTGCTTAATGTTCTTGCACCAGAACATTGCAGCCCAGGCACATTGGATACCAATGATCCGACTGAAAGGGAAAATTTGGTACTCGAGCATGCAGGAAAAATGGATTGCAAAAGATACTTGGCTCCTAAAGATATCGTTGAAGGCTCTGCAAATCTAAACCTTGCATTTGTGGCACATACTGTTCAAGATTCACTTGGTAGGTAAGTTATTAAAAAATCAAAATTTAAGTATATTATAGAGTAATTTACTTTATATTCACCTTTTACATAATTAACTTGAGAAATTTCAAAACAAAACAAATGGAGTGACACCAAGAAGATGGATATATTACTGCAATCCTGCCCTCAGTAAAATCATAACCAAGTGGACTGGTGGAGAAGATTGGGTACTCAACACTGAAAAATTAGCAGAATTGCATAAGGTAATAACTAATAAATTTAATTTTATCTTTCCTTTTTTCTATATATTCATCACAATTCATATCATTATAAATTTTTTATCAGGAGCTTTAAAACGAGTCCACTATTAATTATGATGTTTCAAATCTTGATTTTAGAATTAAGAAATGACTAATTACACATTGTAAATGTTATATTTTAAAACAGTACAATAATAAAAAATATATATATATATTTTAGTTTTATTTTTAGAATAATATGATATTTTTTGATGTGATGTTTTAACTTTTAAGTGTGGTTATGAATAAATGATGTCTGTTTGGATAAAGACAAAGTCTGTGATCCAGAACTATTGACTTTTTTTTGATTTTTTTTATGCAGTTTGTAGATAATGAGGATCTACAAAGTGAGTGGAAAGCTGCAAAAAGGAGCAGCTAAATCAAGGTTGTGTCATTAGTTAAAGAGAAAACAGGATATTCTGTTAGTCCTGATGCAATGTTTGCTAATTTCCTGTATTTCTTCTTGCATTTGCAGATTTGCTCTTGATATTGACCTTGATGCTCCAAAAATTAGAATTCCTATAAGATTAAATGCCTCATCAAAGTATAACAGTCATTTTCGTTTGGATTTTGGTCATTTTACATTGAGGAAAGAGGTATATTTTAATTAATCTTTGGGATATTTTCTGTTCCATCATTGATTTCTGATTCGGTGACCAATAAACTAATCCATTAGTATAATATATAAATGAAAATATAATTTTATTGAAGTATTTTGGTTGCAAACTTTACATATGAATTACATGTGATTCACATGTAATTTATATATGATTCACATGTAAATCACATATGAATTACATGTGATTCACATGTAATTTATATGTGATGTAAATAACAAGTGAATCACATATGAATTACATGTGATTCACATGTAAATAACATGTAATTCACATATGATTCACATGTGATTCACATTTTAATCACATGTAATTCACATATGATTCACTTGTTATTCACATGTAAATATGAATTACATGTGATTCACGTGTAAATCACAAGTGAATCACATATGAATTACATGTGATTCACATGTAAATAACATGTAATTCACATATGAATCACATGTAATTTACATATGATTAATTTGTGATTCACATGTAAATTACAAGTGAATTACCTATGAATTACATGTGATTCACAAGTTAATCACATATGACTTATATGTGATGCACATGTAAATCACATGTAATTCACATATTAATCACATGTAATTCACATGTAAATCACAAGTGAATTACATGTGATTCACATGTAAATCACAAGTGAATTACATGTGATTCACATGTAAATCACAATTGAATCACATATGAATTACGTCTATATGCACACATGTATTTTGTGTAAGTGTTCTTCGTTAATTATTTTTTAAAATTTTCTTGTGAATTTTACATTTAAATCTTAAAAGATACAATCACATGTGAATATCAAATTATATAGTCACATGTGAATCTTACATTATATATACATGTGCATGTTCTTGCATTAATCAATTTTTTTATTTTCTTGTAGATTTTGAATAATTTTTGGAAATATTGAAGATGTGAAAAATGATAAATTGAATAAAATATGGAAATCTTGATATGAAGAAATGATAACACTGTAAATCTTTGTAGTTTTTGTATATTTTATTTTGTATCGAATAAAATATTTGTATTATGTTTATAGATTGATTAATAAAAATGAGGTTTTTTATAATTTACTTACGCATATTATAGTATAAGAAATATGCATATATGCATTTGAAAAAATATGCATATATGCACCTAAAACGTTGATATTTTTGTTAAAAAAATGCAGTTTTAAAAAAAATTGCATTTTTTATAAAAATCGTAGTTTTTTTTTTTTTTGGAAAAAAATGCAGTTTTTCTGAAAAAAAAATGCATTTTTTCTGAAAAAAAAATGCAGTTTTTTTCTAGAAAAAATGCAGTTTTTTTTAAAAAAAATGCAGTTTTTTTTGAAAAAAAGAAGCAGTTTTTAAAAAAATATTTTTTTTCATTTTTTTTGAAAAATTCATGTTTTTTGAAAAAAAATAAAAAATCTCCATTTTTTAAAAAAATCGAAAAGTTTTTTTTTTTTTAAATAAATCCGAAATTTTGAGTTATGTTGTTAATTTTTAGACATTTATATTAATATATTAAATAATACAAAAAAATTAAACATTAAATGAGATTGGTAAGATGACGATCATTTCCTTAACGAATTAGTTTTGATCCAACGCTCCACTTTTAGTTCTCGGGTTCTCTGGAAACTTTGAGTTCTCAACCGATCTCAACCCTATATATATATATATATATATATATATATATATATATATATATATATATATATATATATATATATATATATATATATATATATATATATATATATAGGGCTAGGTTATTTTGTTTCTTACATTTATTGTGTGCTATAATGCACCAATAGGAATTTAGTAAATTAAATAAATATTTAATTAAATAAAAATATATATTAAATGATTTCCATAATTATATGTATATTAAATGATATCCATAATTATAATTCTCTTTTTATGGAAACTAATTAAATCCGTGATTAATGTCAGCAATAACATTCTTTCAGAATGAATTCGCATCTAGGTTTTTATATATGAGTTCGTATTTTGTTTCAGGACTCACTCACTTAAAATACAATAAAGTTGCATGTAATATGAAGAACAAGAGTGTATTCTACTAGAATACACTCTCATTCTTCTAGATATGAATTCATTCTGAAAGAATATTATTGTTGACATTAATGTCGAATTTAATTAGTTTCCATAAAAATAAGTTATAAGTATGGATATCATTTTATATACATATAATTAATACTAAATTTCTATTGGTGCATTTTAGCACACAATAGATGTGAAAAACATTTGAAAAACATTAGCACACAATATATATATATATATATATATATATATATATATATATATATATATATATATATATATATGGGTGATGATATTTCCAAGACACTTTTTGATACATCCACGAAATTACAAAGGAAAATGACAACTATGCCCCTTAGAATGTAATTAAATAATTAATTGTTTAAAAGGTTAATCGATTTTCTCTCAATAATCGGAGGCCACTTAGGCACTTACTAAAAAAAGGAAACAATTCTTTTATCAAATCTCTTAATCTCCCACCCAAATTGAAAAACACGAGAAAGCTCCCAATCTCCATTATCAGCCATGGGGTTTTAATGTAGAAGAGGTGACGACATCCACTTGAGATCTACTCATCGCTTTACGAGGTTGCAAACAATCGCCGTTGACAACCCTTTGTTATGCTTGTGTATGCCGTCGTCGGCTATATTACGCCGCTTCATGAGACTGCAACAGTAGCCGGAGAAATTCTTTCAGGTGGTTCAATATACATTCGTTGAGGAACAAAAGGAAGGAAAGAAAATGTGCCTAAACAGATTGTCGGATAAATTCTTTCCTTTTTTCACTCGCAACAATTTCTTAGTGTTGGGTAAATGAGAAATAATCACATAATTCATCACCAGAATATGAATTTCTTCGAGTTTATGATGGTTTTATTTCTAATGTATCTTCGATTTGATGTAATTTGCAACAGGTTTGAAATTGAATCCGAGCAGGGCAAATACATTGCTCACGTTTTGCACTTGTATCAGCCTCACAAGTGTAGGCATAATGCTTACCATATTCGTTCCATACGTCAGCAATAACCACTTCCCCCTCATCGTTTTCAGCCCATCGGTGTAAGTTTTCTTTCCCTCTTCATAACTATCTTCCTTTTTCTGTACATACAATCTGAAATGAGGAATTGGAACATCAGAGGGTGTTCAGTGAGAATGCTGGTGGCGGAATACAGGACTCTGTCGGAGATTATGGTTCAACGGGACGATCAGCAAGTTGAGTAGAGTTGGAAGGAGTTGCAAGCTAAAGATTGTCGTAAAAAAGAATCAGAGATTTGTGGTAGATTGTGGTGAAGATTGCAACATCGGAGAAGGACCGGCATGGACGAATTATACTTTAATTGTTTTGCTACAAATTATCCTGTTCCTTTGAATAATTAATTATATTCTAAATATATATTATGGGCATAATTGTCATTTTATTTAAAATTCAGTGGGTGTGTAAAAAAGATAAGTGGAAATATCACCTCCCTATATATATATATATATATATATATATATATATATATATATATATATATATATATATATATTGAGAATAACGACTGTTGGGGATGAGATATTCGAGAGATTCGGGGGATATATCCTAAACATCAAGCGATTCGTTGGCCAAGAAAGTATATTAATTGCCAACTAAATCAAAACAAAACAAAAATGAAAAAGATCGGTGTTGACCTCAAGTCAATTTGACTGTGGCCGCCGTGAGGTCGTACGTTGCCGTGGAATTGGTAAAATAGATGACCAACTACGAAGATCACCGATCAACGGTCCAACTAGCATTATATTTTTTATTCTTAAACTTTTAAAGTTGAAACTCATAAGTAAATCAAATCAAAATATATTATTATTATTATCTCCACGGATCTATTTAGGGATTGTCACCATAAGTTGTAGATAATTTCAAGAAAATTTATATTTTACGGATCTATGTTAGGACTTTCTCAATGTAAAAGTGAGCAAATTGACGCACGTAAAAAAACATTAATATTCACTCATAAACAATTTCATTTACATAGGAAAAAAACATTAATATATTTTTTATCCTAGGATTCTCCTTTTCGTTTGCAAATGTTATTTAGGGTGTTTGGAAGATTTATTAATCTCGTGAGATATGGATTATTTCTGGCGTTGTCTACAGTTTTATTGGCATGACACATAATGGTGATTCATACGAAATATTGTAAAAATAATGTTGGCAAGTTAGATCAAATAACTATATCAACATCCTTTTTACAACATCTAAAGTTCAACCAACATGTTTTCACATATTAATCACATGTTTTCACAACCATCCTTATGATATAGTCGAGTCTTCGTTAATGGATTGACTTATCAAACTAGTTGGCTTTAAAAAATCCAACCAACCTTTTTGTTGGTGATTTTAGTGTCACCATGTCATTTTATGTATCTGGAACTAACATGTGACCTAAGGGGCTTTATAATTTGTATTCTAATATATGTACGGGTTGGTGCGGAGTGCACACATGTATAAGATCGAATTAGAAGTCCGTTCGACGACAAATCAAGGGTCCGGGGTTTCCAAAGGGGCGGCGCCCCTTTGGCGGGGTCTAGGAGCAGCGCCCCTAGCGGGGTCGAAGGGGCAGAGCCCCTGGCTGGGGTCCCGCTGACTAATGACAGCCCAACCCTATTGAAACCCTAATTTCGTTTATTATATAAACGACTCTTCCTATTGTGATGTGATAATCCGAAAATTAGCTCTCGTTTTCTTCAAACTCTCACATAATCTTTCTAGCAAATTGGCTTACGATTTATGTGCCTAGAATCGTAAGTGTCCACTTGGATTATCCTAGGCTGAATTTCTTGCAACCTAGGCATATGGTAGAAATATCAGTTCGGAAAGTGTTCTCACGATCCCAGTTGGTATCCAGATATCCACCACAAACCCTATATTTTCCTACAATCGAACTGATATCTTATGTCCCTG